TGCGTGCTCCCCTAACCCGATATGGTCCCCTGCTCCCGCCATATCTGCCTCTCCCACTGACCGTACTAATGCCTCCCTCCTCCTTCAACCCCCCACCCTCCCCCCCCACCCTTTCTACACCGCAACCCTCAGACATGGCTGGTCCTGACCTAAGGTGATCCTCCCCCCTCCCCACCACCCTTGATCCCCCTAAAAATTTGTGTGGCAGCTTTATGCTACACTTTTGGTCCTTTCTGGAGACACAGCAGATTTATGCTGCATGGCTGGGCTGTAAATGGTGAGCCAAGAAGCCCCTCAGCCCTAGCATATTCTTTCTCTTGCCACCTTGTAGTCACACACATACACACAGTTATCCCGCACCATCTTTTCCTGGCCTCCATAAGTTTGTGTTGTACTGCAACCCCCCCCCCAAAAAATAGTGCATTGCCTGTTTGTAGCCTCCCCATCTCCTGCATCACCTCAACTCCTTACCTGGGGCTCCTTCACTTCCTGCTTAACAACCCATGCTGGAGTTACGATGACAAAAGGGAGTGCTAGGATTGCTGTTGCTAAGAGACATTGTCACATGATCTGCTTATGGCCACTTCCCTTAGCAATGGAAACTCCAGTGCAATTGTTCTAATTCAAGGATTACCTATGATAGATCTTTCTACAGTTGTGTTTGCATAGCACACCCTACAGCCCACCCCTTGACACATTTAATGGGGTTTTTTTTTTAGCTCCCTGATGTTCCAGTGTTAAACACTCCCATATTAGATCTTTTTTGCTAAATGCTATCAAGGTTGTTATACATCACAGAATTTGAATAAATGGAGACCAAAATGGCAGCTATTTCAAGTTTGAACAGCATGGCGACTATATTCATATACCATGCACACTCATGATTAATATTGTTTCACTGAATCCAATTTTCTAGGTTTGCATACACCAGTGGTCCCCAACCCCTGGGCCGTGAGCTGTTTGGAACCGGGCTGCGGAAGCAGCAGGCAAGCCCACACGTGTGTGTTTATCCCCACTTGTGCAAGCAATGGGTGAGCATGTGCGTGCTCCATTGGTACAAGCGACAGGCATGTATGCACACCACTCACGCAAATGGAGCGGCACCCACTTGTCAACATGTGGAACCATCCCATCCCCCACCCTGCCGGTCTGCAAAGCCGGAAACTCTTGCATACACTAAATCATTAAATAACAAGCCATATTTAAAGAGCGCCTTAGGCCAAATCCTGGACTGTTGGTGCTTTGGTGTGTCAGGCAAATAGCAATATGTTCTTTGTTAGTGAATTCAGCTAAATTATTTCATTGTTTTGTATTAGAAGAAAAATCATACAAATAATGACAGAAATGCTGAAGAGTTGTGCTTTTTAACTACTACTGTCCAACAGCTTTTGGTCCATTTATTTGATAAGGCATTAGCAAGATACAGTTATAAAGGAATTAAATTGAATTTGTGTAAAGTAGATGTGAACATACAACAAAAGAATAAATAAAAGGTGCATTTTTAAAGTCTTGCTTCCATAAACACACAATATGTCACATCTGAACCCTGTTCCCATGGAATACTACTGAATGCGATATAGATTTCTGCAGATTCAAGGGTCATTATTACAGTAATTCCTTGTTGTCAGATCAAGTCACTTAAAGTACAATAGAATATTCTGACTCAAGTTAAAAACTTTGCCAGAGGCTTTTAAGAAGCCAGAACATCAGTTGCAGATGCAGCAAAATGATTATCAGATTATTCACTTCTAGACTAAAATGGTGAACATATTTTTANAACTACAAGACTTTCTGGGCTGTTTCACTAACTAGCACACTCATGGAGGACAGAAGAGAGGAGACAGAGTTGCTTTAACCCATGTCTCTGTATTCAGAGGCTCTAGAAAAATGTTAAATTAACACTTTGTTCTACCTGTACAAATGAATGTGATGTACAGGTAGTCCTTGACTTATAGCAGTGTGTTTAGTGACCATTCGAAGTTACAATGGCACTGAAATTTTTTTCACACAACTGTTGCAGCATCCCCATGTTCATGTGATCAAAATTCAGTCACTTGGCAACTGACTCATTTATGACAGATTAGTGTCCCAGGGTCATGTGATCACCGTTTGTGACCATCTGACAAGCAAAGTCAATGGGGAAGCCAAAGTCACTTAGCCACTTAACAACTGCAGTGATTCATGTAACTGTGGCAAGAAAGGTGGCAAAATGAGGCAAAACTCATTTATCAACTGTCTCGCTTAGCAACAGAAATGTTGGGCTCAATTGTGGTTCTAATTTGAGGACTACCTGTACTCGGGGTTATCTGAGAGCGGGCTTTATACAAACACAGCCACAAACAAGCCAGATAACTCCATTTCAACACTGAGTATTCCATGAACCCAATCCTTCTTTTCAAATAGAAACTGTCTTGTATTCTTCAGTAGAAAATTTGTCCATAAATGTAGTACAATCATAAATTAATATAATTCTGTTTAGAAACAGTTTGGCCAACTTTGAATCTAAATTTGTGATTAAATTTGCAATTCTTAAAGAGAAAGGAAGTACCATTTTTGATACACAGATTTTTCCACTGTATTGCTGCTGACCAGTTTCCTTCAGATTAAGCCAACTACTTTCCTTTACGTCCAGCCATTTGATGTACGAAGTAGAAATAAAATATCCGAGAGTGATACTTTATTTTTAAAGCTTTCATAGCTCCCTCTAGTGGCGTGAATTGTAAGATATAAGTATTTCTGGTCATTGTGTTTTATACCAGGGGTCCCCAATCCCTGGTCCATAGAACAGTACCGGGCTGCGGCATGCCAGTAATTGGGCCACACAAACAAGCAAAGCCTCATCCGTGAGATGCAGGCAGCACACAAAACCACGCACCCTCCGGTCCGCGGAAAAACTTCTCTCCACGGAGCCAGTCCCTGGTGCCCAAAAGGTTGGGGACCTCTGTTTTATACTGTACTGGTAGCCTTTAATTTACAAACATTCATTCAGCAACCATTCAAAGTTACTATGATGCTGGAAAAAAGTGAGTTATGACTGGTCCACAAAGTTACAACCATTGAAGTACCCACCACAGTGAAGTGATCAAAATTAGTGTGCTTGACTGCCCACCCATCCTTACAACCACATGGATTCTCCAGATCCCCTCAATCACGTATCTGCACCATTCTGTGCTCTTTTGACTATCCTACATAGCAGCATTTGGCAGCAGAGGGATTGAAATAGAGGCTTGGGACCAGCCAGGTGTTACTGCCCCCAGACCTCTATTTCAGCACCAGCACTGCTGCTGCCACCGAGAAATGCCACCTCAAACCCCAAACCTTGCTACACCCAGCTGACCTATGGCATCATCCTCTCACTGCAAGGCAGTGCTAACCATGCCAGGCCTTCTTCCCGTGGCCATTGGCACCATTCTTCAAATTGCCCATGCCATTCTCCAAATACTAGTGCATCCCATCTGTGCAATGCTTTTGAAAGCCTTTGGAAAGCTTCTGAGGTCTTCGGAAGTTATTGCAAGGATGTGGCGTCTGCCTTTTTCCGAAGAGTGTGCTAGACCAGGGGAAGATGGCCTCCCTTGACCGGCAGCTGCCTCATAAAGATGCTGGGGAAGCAAGTGGGAGGGAGGTCAGCAGTGGGAGGAAGCAGATGGCAAAGATCAGCTGGGAGTGTGGGATAGCGAGAATGGATGGGTTGGGTAACACTTTTTGGGCAAAGCTTTGCACCGTGCTCTTGGCACTTCCCAGAGCACGGCAGTTTTGTGCCACACTTGGCATTTCCTGGGTGTGGCAGCTTTATGCTACACTTTTGGTCCTTTCTGGAGACACAGCAGATTTATCCTGCATGGCTGGGCTGTAAATGGTGAGCCAAGAAGCCCTAGCATATTCTTTCTCTTGCCACCTTGTAGTCACACACATACACACAGTCATCCCGCACCATCTTTTCCTGGCCTCCGTGAGTTTGTGTTGTACTGCAACCCACCCACCCCAAAAAATAGTGCATTGCCTGTTTGTAGCCTCCCCATCTCCTGCATCACCTCAACTCCTTACCTGGGGCTCCTTCACTTTCTGCTTAACAACCCATGCTGGAGTTACGATGACAAAAGGGAGTGCTAGGATTGCTGTTGCTAAGAGACATTGTCACATTATCTGCTTTATGACCACTTCCCTTAGCAATGGAAACTCCAGTGCAATTGTGGTTCTAATTCAAGGACTACCTATGATAGATCTTTCTACAGTTGTGTTTGCATAGCGCACCCTACAGCCCACCCCTTGACACATTTAATGGGTTTTTTTTTTTTAGCTCCCTGATGTTCCAGTGTTAAACGCTCCCACATTAGATCTTTTTTGCTAAATGCTATAAAGGTTGTTATACATCACAGAATTTGAATAAATGGAGACCAAAATGGCAGCTATTTCAAGTTTGAACAGCATGGTGACTATATTCATATACCATGCACACTCATGACTAATATTGTTTCACTGAATCCAATTTTCTAGGTTTGCATACACCAATGGTCCCCAACCCCTGGGCCGTGAGCTGTTTGGAACCGGGCCACGGAAGCAGCAGGCAAGCCCACACATGTGCGTGTTTATCCCCACTTGTGCAAGCAATGGGTGAGCATGTGCGTGCTCCATTGGTACAAGCGACAGGCATGTATGCACACCACTCACGCAAATGGAGCGGCACCCACTTGTCAACATATGGAACCATCCCACCCCCCACCCCGTCGGTCTGCAAAGCCGGAAACTCTTGCATACACTAAATCATTAAATAACAAGCCATATTTAAAGAGCGCCTTAGGCCAAATCCTGGACTGTCGGTGCTTCGGTGTGTCAGGCAAATAGCAATACGTTCTTTGTTAGTGAATTCAGCTAAATTATTTCATTGTTTTGTATTAGAAGAAAAATCATACAAATAATGACAGAAATGCTGAAGAGTTGTGCTTTTTAACTACTACTGTCCAATAGCTTTTGGTCCATTTATTTGATAAGGCATTAGCAAGATACAGTTATAAAGGAATTAAATTGAATTTGTGTAAAGAAGATGTGAACATACAACAAAAGAATAAATAAAAGGTGCATTTTTAAAGTCTTGCTTCCATAAACACACAATATGTCACATCTGAACCCTGTTCCCATGGAATACTACTGAATGCGATGTAGATTTCTGCAGATTCAAGGGTCATTATTACAGTAATTCCTTGTTGTCAGATCAAGTCACTTAAAGTACAATAGAATATTCTGACTCAAGTTAAAAACTTTGCCAGAGGCTTTTAAGAAGCCAGAACATCAGTTGCAGATGCAGCAAAATGATTATCAGATTATTCACTTCTAGACTAAAATGGTGAACATATTTTTATATTATTTATTATTTATTAACCAACTTTTGCAGAATGTCTGAAATGAAAATCTAAGAGAAAGGAATATAGAGACCATATTGGGTAAATCAATAGAGAGTATAATTCTCATGTTTAAAAAAGCTACCCTAGTTCAACTGGAATAAATGCAGTGACTAGCATGTTTTATGGCTCCTTGTGTGCTTGAGCCCATCCATACTGTCTTTATTATCCATACTGTTAGTTCCACTAAGTTCTGTGACCAAGAAATTATGTGTGGATTCACAACTTCAAAATAGATTTCTACATAAATTACCAAAATTTCAGATTCACTTCAGATTCATGTAACTTGAAAGTTCTTTTATAGGGTTGTGCAATTGGTTGTTTGAATGATTAGGGGCTACTACCCAATCATGTCATTGTTGAAATAGCTATATATTGTAAAAGTATGAAGAGATATGCATGTACAACTGCATGTTTCTCCATATCCAGGTGGTATTTCAGGTTTCAACGTTATGAAATAACATGTTCCCCTTGAGATAAAATAGGCATTTGAACCTAACCCTTAAATAATTTTCATTGTGTTAGGATTTTAAAAAGTGATTAAGGCATGATTCTCCAAGGACAAGGCCCCAGTTGTTGCTACTGCATATCTTTCTTGCATTGTCACCTTCTGTAAAGTAACCTAAATAGAATTACCAGGATCTATGCATTCCTTTGTTAGTATGATATGTTAATGTGCTAAATCTGGAAATGAAGCATCTAAAGCAATAAAAAAAACATATCACCAGGAAAAGGCCTTTCTCATTTAGCCTTTGGAAACCCCAATAGTTAGTAATGTAGATTACTCAATGTGATCTCACAATTCATCTTGTAAGCTACAGGGACAACTGAAGAAACAGTGTAAGACATGGGATCCACTGACAATAGGCAATGGGAAAAAATGCACAAAATAAGTACATCAAATTTTCAAGAGGTGACATTATGCAGATATCCTCCTAGACATCCTTGTTTTATAAATAATAAATAATAAAATGCCCTAATTGCTCATTACTACTGAATTGGAAAGAGAGGCTATGACACTTTCACTGTGGCTTGGTTTTGAAGGCGATATCTTTATAACCTTTGTTCCAATCCTTTGGTTTCTTTTGCACCTTCGGCTTCACGTGATCGGGGCGCAGTCTCCAACTCCTCGCTTCTCGGGGCTTAGTTTCTTCAACGGCCTCAGGTTCATGATGCACAGTTTGCAGTTTCTCAAGGAGCCAGTTTTGCCGGTCTGCTGAATGTAGGTGTTCCCCCAAGTCATGCATTATCTGTACTTCACTTACAGACCTCTTCCTGTAATGAAGAAAGAGGAGAAAAGGCAATAACCTCTTGGAGTAGCAAAGAGGCTAGCGCTAGACCTTTAATTCTGCATAGTCACAATAATTGTGACCCAGTGTAATTAGGGGGAGAGGGCATTTGGAAAACTGATAGGTTTGGTGGGAGAAGCGATCTATTCAGATCTTAACAGAATGGAAAAGATTTCTGAGAAAAACCACTCCAAAAATGGCAATTCTGTTATCTCGGCATACTTAAAATGCTAGCTGCTAGAGAGAAATAACAGAAGACAGAATTTTCATTTCTACATGATCTTTCACAGTGTATCCAATGGGTCACTGGGGGATTCAGAATACTATTTATTTATAATATTTATATTATTTCCCATTTCATACTTTGACCAGTGAACACAAAGCAATGCAGAAACAATAGCAAATAAAAAGAACAATATATTTTCATGTACAAGCGCTGCAGCACATATAAATGCTTTGACCTGAACATAAGTTTAATGAGTACTTTGAAGTGGCTTATGGAATATAAAAAGACAGTCCAGGGTACCTCTAAGGGAACCTGTTTAAGAGCTTGGGGGTTCTGATGGAGATACCGTTCTGCTCACCCTACTGTTCCACCTTTTCATAAGAAAGGCATTTTAGCAAAGACATTGGGTGTTAGGACTGGACAAGCAGATTTGATTCTAGCAACATGATGTCCAATGCTACACCTTAAAAGGCTTTAAAGGTGAAAAATAGCACTAACTATACTGCAACTGAACACCAGAGATTAAACTTTGTTTTTGTTGCTCCTCAACACTTGTCACTTTCCCATAAAAGATATAGCTTAGTTATATACTTACATCACAGCTTTTCCATCAGAATTTATGAAGAAACAGACAGCATATAAAATGAATGCAGATTTAATCATATCCCTGATTGAAGTCATGTTAACTGAAAGAAAAGTCAAAATACATTTTCACAGATTAAAATTATTCTGAATAGTATAATCAAAATTGTAGAAACGATGGGAGAATTATTTATAAAAGGGAATTGTGTTTCATCATGTAATAAGAAGAAAGGAGAGAATTGGGGGTTAAATTAATCACAAATATTTATCTAACATTTGCTATGATTTATATTCCCCTACCTTAGTGCCTCTGTCTTTATAAAAGATAACAATATATGGTGTTTGTATTGCTGCCAATAATTTAGATTGAGTCAGCAACTATAAATGTTTATCCATCATATTCCTTATCTTTCTTTATCTCCTGCTATATCCACATTAAATAAATATGAAGTGCTTTTAGCAGGTTTAATAATTTCCACATCTCATATCACTCCATCCAAATAGATTTGGAAGTCAGCAAGTATGACAAGGACCACAGTTTAGAAACTCATCTCTATTTCATTAACTCTTTAATTCCATATTGGACAGCATATAGTTAAGATTAGAAATCCTCCTTTATGCATGGAAGGTGGCTGGGTAACTTGGTCTCAGTCCATGCCATCCCATAACAGCTATGGAAAAAATAGGAGGCAGAACATATCTTGAGTTGTTCAGAATAAAGACAAGATATACAGTAAAGCTATTAATAATATCACCTATGCAATACTATGTACATACTGTATGTGTGTGTATTTTTTAACAAAATGTTTATAGAAGATTAAAAACTAACAAGAAATAATATAAAAAAGAAAAGAAAAGGCAACAAGAAAGAAAGAACTTGAAGAAAAATAGAAAAGAAAGAAAAAAGATATAAGGAAGTGGCTTCCGATAGTCTTCACAGCAATTATGTGTACAAATATATTTTAACCTTTTTCTCCAAAGTTACATAATTTTCTTCTTCTTTCTATAATCTATCTTTTCTAATCATCAAAACCATAGATCACAAATTCATTTTTTCATGTTTACACAAAAAGTCCATTAGAGGCTTCCAGTCACCAATAAAATACTCTGTACAGTTCTGTTGACTAAATTTGGAAAAGGATGCAGTAGCTGAAAAAACCCAAAAGAAATAGGCAACCAAAACGATCAGAGAGCTTGAATACCTTCCTTATGAGAAAAGCCTAGAATGTCTGGCCTAGTAAAAAGGAGTTTGAGATGGAATATGAGCAAAGTATGCAAAATCCTGCATGGCAAGCAGAAAGAAGACAAGGATAATTTTGGCTCTCTTTTCTGAAACCAGTAGGATCAGAGGTCATCCCTAACAAGAAATAAATTTAAAATTGACAAAAGAAAGTACTTCACGCAGTGTATAATTAACTCACAAGACCTGGTGGCCACTTGAATCACTCTAAAAGGGGATTTGATAAATCCATGGGTAATATGTCTATTATATCTTGGCAAATCTTGATAATGCAATATTACTTCCAAGGGTTTTTTGGGGAGGAAGAGAAATTTGCCTTCATCTATCCCTTGCAGGGGAACAAAGGTAGAAAGGCCCATCTCCATCTCCTAAGATCATGCACCCCAAAGACATCTAGTTGACTACTGTGAGGAGCAAAATGCTGAACTAGAATAAGCCTTGGCGTGATTAGTCAGGCAAATATATACATATTTAAGCAATAGCAAATGTCAATTCAAACAGTTTTTCAATCAGGTCATGGGACTTTCTCTTCTCCAAATCCCTCTTATGTATATCCTAGTTTGCTCTACATTGGTGCAGATCTGCATCATCATACATAACAAAAGAGAACTCATTCGGCATCTTTTCATTAATTAAGAGATGGCTAATCCACTAATTCTGATGAAATTATATAGTGGAAATCACATTGGCAGAATACTTTCAATAAACCCTACTCTTCTGTATCAAACCATAGATATGTCTTGTCTCCCATTTTCTTTCCAACAGCAGCCAGTTGTTCTCAGGAAACATACAAAGTGTGGAATTAATAAGGTTCCCGTTATTTATCTGCTACGCTTCTATGTTGTTTTCATGGATAATTCTTTCAGTCTTATTGAAAGTTTGCAGATATCGCCACATTTTGTTCTACTGAATTTCTTACATAAGTTATGCATTTATTGAAGAACAATTTATTTTTTCTCAAAATCTTTTTATTTATTGCCAATAAGGGATTATCTTGGTTTTGGTAAAATTAGGGTTCGTAGACCCAAAATGAATTTCTTGATTGCATGACTTAAATGGATCCTGTAGTTTTAAAACATAATGATGCAGTCATATGGTTGCTTTAACAGCTGTGTTAATTTATCTCATGTTAACTAGACAGAACTGATTTTCACTTGACAGATAATCTTGTGCTTCCAGGGAGATAAAACTTAAGAGATGGCTTTGAGATGTTTTAATCCAGTATGGATAAAAGTGGGAGCAGGGGGAAAGCATCCTAAACAGGATGTTCAAAATCATATGCTGAATACTGCATGAATGTTCTTGGATATATAGAAGCATTTCCCATCTGCCACTTAGACCTATTAATTTTAATCTTAACAACTAAGTCAGTCCAATGAATGAACAATTTGACATATTTAACCTCCTGTATATGAAGTAAATTAATCAAAGTCAGAACTAAATTCACGGGCATAAAAGAACAGTAACTGTTGTTACTGAGGTATTTTTGATTTCAAATGAAAAAAAATAGGTGTTCACTTAATTATTAAATGGCTATTCGTGGTAGAAGGGCAGCATAAATCAGGTAGGATGATCCAGTTTGGCACAAGGGCTGCAACTTGCCTGTCCTGGATAAACGTTGATACTGAACGATGACTGGGAATCATTGATTTGACTGGAGCAGTCAAACCAATTTTGTCCCTAACACAAACCTACCATCATTTAGAAATTCATTGTGCTGTAAATGAAACTGCAGCATCTTTTTTCCTTTCATAATCTTCCTATGTTAGCTGTAGGAGGCATTTTGATTTATTTTTTCCTTCTGGAAAATGTGTAGGCATCAAAAAATTGTTCTTGAAAGCATCATAAACCAATTATTATCACTAGAAATTTTATTGACAAAGCCATTTGAGTATCTCGGGGAAGAACAGAAAAGCTGACAAGTATTCAAGAAGTAAAATGTAACTTTAACTCTGAATCCAGTTATAAATTCCAGTGTAATTTTGATTGGCAATGAAATGTGTGTTCTCAGATAACTTTTTATAAAGGTGCTATAGCAATGCTAAATAAAATATTAAGCGATTTACAGTTTCTGTACATGCATTTTTACTACCCACCTAAACATAAATATAATTTGGATAGTTCATATTCCTATCTACATTTCTTTTATCCACATACATGAAAATTAACTTTCAAAATAAAACAGAGTATTCTTACCAAATAGCTTTTAAGTTGGTTCTTCCTTTAGATAAGTCTCAGCAAGCAGAAGTTGATTTGAAGACTGCTTAATTGGTCTAGAAGACTCCTTAAATGTAACTTTAAATAGAACTTCTCAGTAGCTAAGGAGCCCTTTTATTGTCTCCTTTTGTTGATGTCACTTTTCGAACACACCCCTGACCTTGATGTACCACCCATCATGTGCTTTTGTTAATGGGGCATTGAAAGAATAGAGAAAAAAGGTTTAGGGCAAAATACAGTAACCTGGGAAACTTCACAAGAGTTTGACTTTTAGAGAATCTGAGTTTAAGGTTGGAAAAAATGCATATAAAGAAATTATGTCAATTAAGTAATGAAGATCAGCTTTAAATGTTAATGAATCCTGGGATGACTAAAGGCTAACCTTTTTTGGCGGGGTTATCAAGGTTCAAGAACATGAATGGTCTGCTGCAGGAATCTTTATTCAGTGTGTTATCAAATTTACTCTATTCAAATTGGGAAAATTAACATTCCGCGGGAATTTTACAAATCAGAGACAAACCTTGAAGTCCTGTAAATCCAGCTTAATTAATTAATCACAATTGGGCATCACTTTAAGTACAAACATGGACATTGCTATGATTGGCAGACATCCAACTTCGGTTTCTGTATTCAAAGAAATACATTATTAATAGATATATACTTTCTCTCGGACAAATATATACCCAGATGAAACTGTTTAAGATAATAATTTGTAGACTGTAGATTGTAGAGGCTTGTAGAATGCACTCCTCAAAGATTAATTGCTGAGCCCTCCACCCCAAACAAAAATAAAAATAAAATAGGTTTATGCTTGCTTGTTTTCTCCTGCAACAGGTGGCCTGATTTACTTATTTGAGACAGTGCCTCAATTCTGCAAGCAAATTCTTATGTTCAAAAGCTTTATTTTTCTAGTTAGACTCCAGCATAGCTTATTGTAGAGCTATAGTACGGTAGTGCTTTGTGAAAAAATAAGATTTTTGGAACATTTTGCTCATATGATGCTGTATCATTGCTTACAAATTAGTGAATGCAGCAGGACAAGACTATTCCCATGATTTATTTGTAAGATTCACCAGATAAATAAAGAAGATGCAGGGTTTGAACAGGTAACAGTTTACCTGTGAATGGTGCCAATAATTGTCCTATTACGCTAGAAGGAATATAAAAGACAATGTTTTCTCTTCGTGCAACAGAAAAGCTATTTCAAATTTTGCCCTTATTTTATAGAATGCAAGTCATATATCAGGTACATTAATATTAAAGATGGAAAGGCAGATAGATGAGCAGAATGTTCACCTTATTCAGAAGCAACCATCATTTGTTGCATTTCTGTATGAATGAGATGAGGGCCGCAACTATTTATTTATATCCCACCTTTATTATTTTTACAAATAACCCAAGGTGGTGAACATATCCAACACACCTTCCTCCTATTTTCCCCATAACAACAACCCAGTGAGGTGAGTTGGTCTGAGAGAGAATGACTGGCCCAAGTTCACTCAGCCGGCTCTCACAGCTTCTGGTTTCTAGCCTGCTGCCTAACCCTAACATTATGTGCACCCACTTGCTCCCATCTATGATACGGTAGCTGTGTGTTTATTTCAAGCCCTTGCAGTAAGGAAGACTTGTACATTTTATTCAGTATACAAAAGA